GTCCCATTTATCACCAGCACATTCACCATAACTATCCCCACTTCCAGCGATGTGGAATCGGCCCCAACCTGTCCTCATAGCAGATACACATTTAATTCACACATCAGCCTGGTTGGTCACTTGCGAATCCATCGTTCGGAGACTGGCGGACCGGTGCCTGGAACACCAGCATACAACAGGCTCCATCGCTTTAACTGCCTACATTTCCCTCGCGCATTCAGCCATCGCATGGGCCTACTAGGCCACATGCGCATCCACGAAAACCTGCGGCAGATCATCGCCTGCTATAGCATACCATCAAGTCTCTCCTCACCAGCACCTACAACGCACATCAACATCAATACATAACGCAGGCACGTTACTGGCACCTCTCACCTAAGTGGGAAGTACGCTTCTTGGCTCTTTCTCCATGTGGCCCCTCTGTTATCCGAACCTAAGACCATCATGGTGTGCTATTAGTCGTGGCTTGGAAGGTTGTCAACTCTCCGAATAACTCGGACCTCTCAGTCGGTCCAGTATGCGTTTGTGTAAAGTTGCCGACTGGTAAGCTGAGAGTCAGGTTGCGATGGCCGAATATCGGCGAAACGCGTGTCTGGTCCTTCACCTAGTACCTGTGCTGTTAGTATGGTGTCCTGAAGCCAAACAGATACTGTTAGCTGCCTGTCGGCAGTCACTGAATGCACACGGTCATCCCGCTGTAACTGATGGGCATCGACTAAAGTATTCATACCTCAAATTTTGGTCTTCGTTTATAGGTCTTTGTTTTAACTGATCTACTCCAGTTAGCAGTTAATTTCTGATGAGATTAAAAAGCAACGATATGGTCCGCGTTACAGTTCCAAACCCCATTACTTTTTTGTCTAATTACTGTGCTAATCAATGCATCTTAGTAGCTTGATCATATGAATTTTGTTCTTAACTTTTATGTTTTCGATAGTCTTCAAAAGCATTGCCTCCTCCAATCAGGATAATTTCTGCGGCTGTTGTAGATAACCAGCTAATCCACCTGGCTTATCTAAGCGAGAAATGAATTTTTGCATCCGAATACAAAACAAAGTAACTGTCTTTTTGCAGTGGTTTTCGTGGAAAATATCTGAGAAAATTCGCTTTTCTGATTACTAACGCACAGTATGTCCAGATTGGAAGAATGCACACTTCTTGTTAATTTATCTAAGGATTAGCAAGAAAACGGCTTTATGTCATTAGAAGGAAATTTTTCTTTCATTTGTCCACACAGGAATCATCCTGTTTAGGAAGACTTTGGCTACTAGAACAGCCGTTTCACCGTCCTTTACATTCACGTTGTTTGGAAGTGCTTTCGAGCACACCGCCAAATTCTGTACCATACCACTACTGTGGTGCGGTTGATACCCACGGAATTCGTACACCTAATGACTCCAGTTCCTTTGAGAACAGCCAGGGAAGCACCGCCCCAGTCCAAATCGGTATCTCAGTCTACTCTGAAAACCGGATGTCTAGCGTAAAAAGAGTTCTTTTACCGCAATCCAAATTGTTCACATGAATCCATTCCAGGCTGTTTTGGAGTGTGACAAGTCCAGGTCACGCTGGGTTCTTCTACTGCACTAATTCAAGAACATGCAAAATATGCCCGTAGTCGCCGCCTATAAATATTTATTCCACATCGACTGCATTTAAAACCACGTATACTTGGGTATGCTGGCATGCCTAAACATACATCCATCCGTATATTGTCGTAATACTTGCAGTGCCATTGGTCTGCGACAATGGCATATTACCCTCGATGTAAGCAGTCTTTATTCTTGCAAATACTGCACACGGAGAGGAAAATCGATTACCTCCTGTACTTTGGTAAACGCTGGGGGTTTGCGCAACTGCGTCCCCCCTTTCTGCGCGGTGTGCTTGCTTAGGGCCTGCAAATGAATTATTTAGAATATTTATTCAACAGGATTGTATGCAGCCGCTTTTAAAACCCTTCGGGTTGCGCAATCACTTAGCAATCTCTGTTCCCCTCAACAACTGACTTCACGGTATCATGGGCTACTACTTCGTTTTGAGTAGCCTTTTTTAAACTAAAAATTCCATGACATATTTACGTTACGTCGTAGCGGCCGAGGACGTTAAGGGTAGCACATACCAAGGTAGTAAATGACTGGGAAGATATCCTAGCTAAGATCGATCTGAATAGAGTTGTTAGCGTGTCGCGATACTCATCCTTACGTTAGAGAAGAAGGAACGTCAAGTAGGCGATAAGGTATAATGGGAAGAAATAGAACTGGAAATACATATAATAGTAGTTAATTTTACAAATAGGACGAATCACAGCAGGGGAGTAGCCTGTCTGGGTGGAGAGGCGACACCAACATGTCAGCTAAATATCCGGTGGGGAACGCAGCGCTGTGGGCAACTGCAGCGGAGGACCGAGTGAGTTGCCAACGTTGAGAGAGAGAGAGATCGTGCGATGCAAAGTCGCGGGGAGGGGGTCAGCGGTGGAGCGGTGAAAGGGCACCGGCTGCTTTCACCGACACGCAGTTACACCATCACCAACCCAGGTCCGCACGTCAAAATTGTTCCTTCATTCAAA